GGGAATCCTAGGTGCTGCAGTTCTTTTTTTGTTTTTTTCTTTTTGTTTTGGCTTTTTTGGCCTTTTTCTGCCTCTGGGAAGGTGAAAAAGAGCAGTGTCGAAGCAAGGCGGGCGGGCGCTGATTTTCTCGGCACTCGGAGCGCGCGTTGTGGTGGAGGTGTGGAGGAGCTCTGGGCGCAAAAGTGCACGACAGTCACCTTGAGCATCATCCACCAGGTCATCCCGCCCTACATCCGCAGGTGGTGGAGCAAGCAAGATGCCGCGCGAACGGTCACGCTCTCGCTCGCCTGGCTCCGATCCGCGCTCCGGTCCGCATGCGACGCTCCTGCGCTACGGCGTGGACGAGATCGGAGAGGACGACTACTACGTGCGATCGGCCGAGTTCAAGGCGTGGCTGGCGGACACGAAGCGCAAGTACCTCGACGAGATCTCGAGCCGCGAAGCACGCCGATATTTCGAAAGGTTCATACGCCGCTGGAACGACGGTCGTCTGCCGGACGACTACTACAAGGGCACCATCCGTAGCGCCGCCGCCTCCGCGGGCTCGTCCAGCCAGACCCGACACCGATGGGGATTCACCAGCAAGCCGACGTACACGGCGGCGGAGCAGGAACAGCTCGCCATGGTGAGGGACAGTGTAGACACCTTGACCAACAGCTCGACGCGCGGTGCTGTGGAGGCCAGGGACGCCGAACGCCGCGTCCGTCGCCGTACCCAGGAGGAGGCCGAACCGGCTCCAGTACGGGATTCTGGATGGGCCTCACGTTCGAACCCGGGCAAGACTAGCGCCGATGCGCAGCTGGACCGCGAACATGCGGCCGACATGGAGCGTGTGGCACGCAGCCAAGCACGGCAGCGAGAACGACACGAGCGCCAGGATGAGGACGACTCGCTCCACGGCCGGGCAAGTGGCCGCGAGAGGATGCTGGAGAAGAAGCGCGAGCGCAGTGCAGCCCATCGCGACTTTGCCGAACGTCGTGCGGCGGACGATGGGATCGAGATGGACGACCGAGACCTCTACGACGATCCCAAGCCGCAACAACGTGCGAGCCGAGAAAGCACCAACCGCGGCCCGAGTCGGCGCGACCAACAACAGCAGCAGCGCGCCCAAGAACGCAGGGCCGACATGGACGAAAAGGTCTCGGCACTCCGCGCCAAGGACGCAAAGACCATGGACATGCTCAAAGCCCTAGCCGCCGAACGCTTCGGCAGCTAAAACTCCAGCACGAGAAATGTGAGGTCTAACATGCTCAATTCCGCCCCAACGGACATTGCTGGCGGGCGCGCGGGCGCGTTACCCGCTCGACGGGATCGACTTTTGACAGGCGCATCTGAGACACCTCTGACTCCCGGACTGGTGGGTAGATTGAGAGCCGCGCCACCTGGTTTGTACCGCCCGCCGCAAAGGCCAACCCACCGAGCCCAAGGGCATGACGCAGTGTGGCGTGCACGTTCTATTGTGGCGGCGAGGTGTGCGAGCCAGTTGGGGCTGGGTGAGTGGGTAGCAAAGTGGGAGGGCAGACGCATGCACGAGCGCAAGGTCCCTGACAGCTCTCGTTGCCCATACACACGCGCGCCACGCCAGCACACTTGCCATGACATAGTTTCGTGCTGCCAGCTCCGCCAATTTAGCGTCCCGCTCCGTCCAAACACTCGCTCGCGCCCGGGCGTCTCAACTGCCGTCTGGTCGGTCGGGCCCCTGCGTCCCCGCATTGCGTGTCGCCGCACCCATCCACTCCCCACCTGCCCTGACGAGTTTTTGTTCCCGAGGCTCGGTATCGAGCTAAGCTGTCCGGTTGCACGTCAACCCCCACCTTGGCTCGGTGCTCGCCATTGCTCGTCACCATCATCTTCATCCCGACCTCGTCTGCGACAGCTCAGCGCTATCGACACGATTGGAATCGCCTTCGAGGTGCACCCGAAAGTCGCCGCTTATCAGGGCCCAGTGCGGCGATCCGAAACCGCGAGCCTCGCGTGCTAAGCGAACCACGGCGCTGCACCCCACGTAGCCGGCTCCAAGTTGCCGCTAGCCCGCTTGCCTCTCTTGCGCTCTCGTTCAACGACGACGGGAAAGCTAAAGATAGAAATCATGGATGGATCGACGTTCATGGCAGGATCGACGTCTTCGGGGTGTGGAGGCACCAAGCCGGCGCTGCCACAGCGTTCGCGTCGACGATCCATGGTCGGCGAAGCGCGTCCAACTCGATTCGATGCGCCACCACTGCCGGGTATGGTCGCATCGTCATCAATGCCTCAGCTCGACAAACGCTCCAGCACCAGCCACGTAGTATCTGTCGTGGCACCGCTGAGGATTGCGGATAAGAAACGCTCCTCCACCATCTCGATCACGGCATCGGCGAGTTGTACGCCAACCATGCCGCAAAAGAGTCGATTTCGCAGCTCGGTCGATTCGCACACCAAGTCGCCTCCCGGCCCAAGCGGTGCGGCGGATGATTCGACGGAGTCGTCGCCGTCGTCGATAGCTACCTCGCTGGCCGATGGAGAGCTTGGACGCGCGTATACGCACGATGCGGTCTTCACGCATAATGTGGCCAAGCACGCACGCAAGAGAAGCTCACTCGCCGCAGTTCCCATGGGAATCTCGCGCAGCCATCAGGAGATGATCGACGACAGCCCCGGCACCTTCCATCGTACCGAGGCAGCCGGGCTGTTTGACTCGGTCCGTGGCTTGATGCACGATCTCCAGCTGGATATCGGACGCGACGATGCGAAATCGAAGCCAGAGGCGGGGCAGGACCTGAGGTCGTGGTTGGCTAGTCCACAGCGAACGGAGCCTTGCAGTGCGCCCGCGATCAACGTGACCACCGACACACCCGAGTCTTCACCGCAAGCCATCCCCCCCAAGGCCGATGGTTCAGCTGCTGGGGGCTCTGAAGGCACTTCACCGCGACCAGGGGGGTTGTGGGGGTTCCTGCGAACGCCCTCACCCCTACCCATGCGCACCTCCACTGCGTCGTCGTACTCATCCACATCGTCGTTCATCGCATCCGATCCTACTGCCTCCAGCACCCTCTCACTCTTCAGCAACCTCCTCGGTCGTTCGACGCCCGAGACGTCGTCACCGGAGGAGGCGCCTGTACGGCTCGCACGCACGCGCGTGGACGAGGAGAAGCTCGCACATCTTATGATCTCGTGCGCCGACACGCGGCATGTGCTCAAGACCGAATGCGACCCTGCCAAGCTGCGCGACACCGGCCTGCGCCTCGAAAAGGCGTGGCGAGACCAGCTGCAAGAAGCCGGCGCGTTGCGGACCAAGCTCGCCGTAGCCCAGGATACGGTCGAGGATCTCGAGGATGAAAATCGCCAGTTGAGGAAGCAGATCGCTCAGCTCGCCGAGATCATCGTCGAGCGAGAAGAGCAGTTGCGCAACGCAGAGCAGCAGCGAAACGAGCCGGTCGAGAGAAACAAGCAGTTGGAGCAGCAGTATCAGTCGACCTAGCAGCGTAGAACCGTTGAATCCCAGTCGCGATCAAACCAAGTCTGCGCGTGCCGAGTCTGTGCACACACGAGGGCGTCTGAGACAGAAAGCCGTGTTGGCGCACAAGTTTTGAAGGAGTGCCATTGCGTTGCGAGCATGCGCGTGTCTAGACGGCCTTCATCTGGTCCTTGATCGCCGCCTTGGCATCGTCCTTTGCGGCGACGACATCCTTGACCCTCAGCCCGGTCTGGCTCTCTACACTCTCGAGCCCCTTCCTGACGGACGACTCTGTGTTCTCCTTGACCTTTTCGAGGCCGTCCTTGGTGTTGTTGAGCAGCTCTTTCGCCTGGTGCTGCCACTTTTGGCGCTGCTCCGTGAGCGCCGGCAGGTACTTTCGTTCGGTCTGCGTGTAGTACGCTCCGAGGTTGGCGGCGAGTTGCGGGTTGGTGGTGTTCACCGCGATGATGGCAGCCAGGGGTGGCGTGAGCATTCGAATCGGGAACGCGCGGTATCGGGTGAAGATGCTTCCTGCCAGCGTGGCGACTCCGACGTAGAGCAGGCCGGGCGTAAGAGGTTCGGTGTCGGGGATGAGCGACTTGACCTCGCCTTCGACGGAACGCTCGAGCGAGATCCATCGGTCTACGAGCGATCGCACCGATCCGCGCGTCTCAGCAGTGACGCTAGAGACTGCTCGTCGTGCGGAGCCAATCTGACGCTCCAGCTCGGTCTGCACCGGCACCACCTCAACCTTGGCATCCGGCAGCGGATAAATCGGAAGCTACACGACGCAAAACTGTCAGCAGATGCACTTCCCGCTCGATCGAGTGAGTCGGGGACTTACCTTGGTGGAGCTCGGGGGTGCCTCTTCGTTGTACACGGGCTTGGCGATTGAAGTGCCCGCGACCATGACCGCGACGCCCGCTACCACCTTGGCGGAAGCCGTTCGTGCCTGTTCGAAGCCCAGAGAGCATCAGCATGCATATCGACAGCGTAGCCTGCTCTTGCGAAGGGTGAGTGATGCTTACCGAGGCTGCAATCATTGTGCGTCGTGTTGGATATGGAGGTGTGGAGAGGGAGAGGTGACGATGATCGCGGCCGCATTCCAGTTGCAGCACTGATGCGTGTGGAGCGAGCGTTCGCTTTCGGAAGAGCCAGGGAAGCCCCACCTCTGGCCTGCGACTGGCGATGACCACGGGCCCGCACGTGATGGCGAGCCATTTTTAACGTAAACGAATAACCTATCGCGGCGTAACATATTTTGACTTGCGCGCTCCCTGACGTCTTCGCCTCAATCAGACGCTCGGCCTGCGTCACAAACAATGCAGCGGTCATTGCTAGCCTAGCCTGAAGGACAAGACGGGGCTTCGTAGCGAAATCCACGCTCGGAGTGATTCTCTGTACGCGTGAAGCCCAATCGTAACCTCGGGAGGAAGAACGGATAGCGTGAGCAGATTCACCAGCTGCGACTGATGGTGACGCGGTTCATTTCAGCCCTTGCGTGAACTTCTGCACGATCGAAGGACATTGTATCCTCATGCACGATCTTAGAGTCAAAAGAGAGGTCCTGAACCATCGAAGTAATGGGCAGATGTGCGTTTGAGGCTATGTGTAATCGGAGCGAGCAGAGAACATGCAGTAACAGAATATCAAAGTCGAGCCAAACATGCGCAAGGGGAAACACTCGAGAGCACAAGCGAAAGCCAAGCTCAAAGAAAACACAGACGGTACGAGGCAAGAAGTGTGGTGGTGAAGGTAGGATTATCGGATGCGATGGAAGAGAGGGAGGTTACGAGCCAACGAGGGAAAAGAGATTGTTCAAAGGAGAGACTCCGAGGGATGCAGTCATTGCGACCATGGAAGCGAGGATGCTTAGTTGATCGAGATGGGGGTGCACGAGGTCTGGATGAGGCCGTTGTTGGCGGAGCCCTCGCAGCAGACGGCGGTGTTCTTGCAGGTGTTCTGGACGGCGACACCGATGAGGAGGGGGATCTGCTGGCAGTCGAGGCCGATGACACCGTCAACAGCCTCGTTGAAGGCCAGGCCGAGGCCGGCAAGGGCGTCCTGGGCGGCGGGGCCCTGCTTGATCTGCGAACAGCACTGGGCGACACCGGTGGCGCACTGGCCGTTGCCGTTGTGCTCGCCAGTAGGGAGGGCCGAGGCGACGGCGGCGAAGGTGGCAACAGCGGCGAAGATGGTCTTGAACTGCATTTTGAAGGCGAAGAGTTGGTTAAGCTGAAGAGCTAAAGAGAGTGGAAGAGTGTGGAAGAGAGAGTGGAGTGGAGTGGAGTGGATGAGTGGATTGATGATGAAAAGAGGAGGAGGAACACGCCATTGGCCTTTGTCTTTATACTTTTCGATCGCACTAGCCAACTCGTATGAACGGCTGGGAATAGCGTGCTTCACCAGGCGCTTGCTGTACAGCGGAAGGAGGGCAGCGCAATGCTGCGAGACACTGGAACGTCTCACCGAGAGGCAGGAGCGGTGGCATCCAAAACACTCGGACAGCGCACCATCGTTGGGGCATAATCGCAGTATCCGACAAAGCGACGGGCGAGACAGACGGTACAGAAAGGCTGACCGGCAAAGCAAGCTGAGGCCAAGTGCCCGTCATTCGATCCAAACCAGTGCATCAAAACAAGCGTTGCACCGTATGCGGCGAAGCGACGGATGCGCTGAATCGCATGTTTTGGCAACACCTCTCAGTGGGCCTGCGAGCTTGAGACAGGCACGTCGGTTCCTCACTGGCGGGGAGAAGATGTTTACGCATCCGACTGGCGCGGGAGAATTGCTGATGTGCGAGGCTGGCTGGGACGACGGCAAGGAATGAGAGTGTGCAGAGTTGATGCAGCATCTGCCCATGAAAAGCGGCGTCAGCCAGTCGGTTCGTGCAGTGCTGATGCAGACAGCGATGGGAGATCCCGGGATGGACGCAGGTGATGCAGCTCACCGGTACGTAGCGCACATTGCTGTTGAACCTAAATCGGGAGCGGCGTGTGCATCAGTCTTGGAGGCAGCAGCATGCAGGCGGCGTCCAAGAGTGCGCGGCTGCAAGCGGCGCGACGTAGGCTTTGGCACGGACATCCCGTTGGGCAGCTGAGGCAAAGCATGGGTAGGGATTTCGTGCGGGCAGCCCGTCGGGACGGGGGCTGAGGGTACAGCCTGTGGGGAGGCGGAGGGGTTAGCGCATCCGATGCGGTGTCAAGCCTTCCAGATGGACGGTTGGCAGCATCGAGGAACGCAGACTGCTTGGCGGAGGCTTGCATGTCTACGAGCCAGGGCAATGCACTGCGCCCCTCTCTCCCGTGCTGCCCTTGCTGTCACATCGGCGCCGTCCAGCGCGAGGCATTCGCATCGCCTTTTCCACCCGCCGCCTCCCACAGCAGGCCTGTTTTTTTTTTTT